TGCTGTTGATGACGACCAGATCTGCTCCCTCAGTGATACAGGCTTGTCTGCTTTCTGTCCAGTTTTTCTTCGTGGTTGAAACGAAATAACAGCTTGTATCAAACTTCTTCCAGTGTTCCTGACAGCGCATGTCTACGAGTTAACAACATGGCGAGAGCTCAGATATCACAAAAAGGCTCAGAATACAAAAACACCTCTGTGGTGAAACTGTTAGACGAGAAGAGAAAAAGTTCACCTTTCACTTTGGCGGTCATCTTGTCGACGTTCTTTCGTAGCCGATCTCTATCTGCAGTCAAACCGCTGTAGTTTCCTTGTAACTGGTCCTTTTCGACTCTCAGAGTATTATACCTGGTTTGGAGTTGGCTGTTATCTTTCCACAGTGAATTGTAACTGCGCTCTGTGTAATTTTTGCGTAAGCTCAGCGTATTGTAGCTGTTCTGCAACTGGTCCTTGTCCCTCTTCAGTAAAGAATAATTGCTGGCTAACTGATCTCTTTTTGCTACAAGTGCAGTATAAAGAGTTCGTAATGCATTCTTTTCTCTTTCCAGGTTATTGTTTCTGCTCTGTAGCTGGTCTTTAGTTGCTCTCAGATTCTTGTGATCAGTTTGTAGTTTCTCAAGACTCGTGCGCTTGTCGTTATAGCTTTCCTGCAATTGGTTTCTCTCCTGTTTTAAAGTGTTGTGGCTGTTCTGCAACTGGTCCTTGTCCCTCTTCAGTAAAGAATAATTGCTGACTAATTGATCTCTTTTTGCTTCAAGTGCAGTATAAAGAGTTCGTAATGCATTCTTTTCTCTTTCCAGGTTATTGTTTTTGCTTTCTAGCTGGTCTTTAGTTGCTTTCAGATTCTTGTGATCAGTTTGTAAGTTCTCAAGACTCCTATGCGTGTCATTATAGCTTTCCTGCAATTGGTCCATTTTGTGTTTCACACTGTTAAAGTTGGCCTTCAACTCATCTCTTTCAGTCGTCGCAGAACTGTACCTTTGCTTCAGTTGGTCTTTTTCTTTAGTCAGGTTACCGACAGAGATCTGTAGCTGCTTTTTCTCAACAGCCAAAGCATCATAACGGCT